GGCTCAGCTCAGAGCGGCAACTCGTGAGGCGGCGGCCGGAGGCTTTGCTGCAGCAGCGACAGGACTCCAAGCTCAAACACAACTGACATGAAGAAGCTTTTGCACTGACTAAACGGGACGGCCTATGCTTAGATGAAGGATTTAAAAAATAAATTAGTAAATGTTCCTTTAACAGTTTCATGGATTTGCAAAGTAATTACCAAATAAACGTGAATGATAAAAACTGCCCAATTTGTACCTGCGATGGGGGGACACCTCAGCTGACACGGCGCCCAGGGAACACTTTACAGCACCAGACACGCTCATGCCCAGCCCCAAACGGTCCCTGTTACACTCTGCTTGCAGCGGGAATAACTGGTGCTTTGCCTCTCCTGCACTTAAACTTCAACTCCTAAAAGCCTGATTTTGGCCAGAACTTGCTGTATCCCTGTTCTTGAAGCAAGACATTAATTTAGAGCAACTCCCCCATATGGACACCGCCACCCTACCTCCGAGCGGAGGAAAGGGAAAGGGAAGGCGCTCAGAGCAAGGCTGCAGCTCTCCTGTCACGGTGGCCCCCGAGCCCAGCTCCCGCAGACACTGCACATCTTCCTACCATCGCCTCCCTCTCACACTCAGTCTCCAGGATCTGGTCTTATTGCATCTGTCAGCGTGTACGTCAGAGACGAGGAATAATCGGAAAATAATCCCTGCAGCACTGAAGGCATGTGGATGTGCCAGGGGAGTGTCTAATATGGCTCTATCTGGTATGTAATTCTCTAGTTTGAAATACAAGAAACAATTCCCGTATATGCTTACATCTGCATGTACGGGAATTTTGTTTCAGAGGACTTTTAGATAATTTGTTTTAAGATCTGTGTTTATAATTCACTCAGCTCTGTTGATGCCCGAAGCTCTAATTTATTTTATCTGTACTTCCCTGAACATTCAAAAGAAAAAAAGTCCTACAAATGCAGTCAAAATGCGTAAAAGACAACACCCTGCTCTACGTTCCCTGCGTCCAACAAGATTTTCTACACGCACAGCTGAAGATCCTCATGTAAAATTCACCAAGAATCTTTGTCCAAGAAAAAAAACCTCAGAGGCTCTGGCAGCTAAACCGGGAACGATCAGCCCGGAGCAGTATCTAGTATTTTGGTTTGATGGGCGGAATCCCAGCTCTCCCTCCACACTAGCAGATCCAGCCCCTTCCACACAGAACCCCGCTTGTTACTGGGATCCCAACTTCCCCGACGTGCACGCCCAGTTTTTCGCTACAGCAATCTCTCCTCCTCTCCCAACAGCACAGCTGTGAGAGTCACAAATATAAAGCTTTTCTAAATTGCCTAAATTGCCTAAAGAAAACCAAACCTTTTACTATCCCGCTCCTGCCTACCTTGGCGAGCGGCACCGACCGAGGGCCCAGCTCAGCTGCCGAGCACCCGACGAGGCAGGAAGGACCACGCTAACAAGCACGTTCTGGGGCCGTCCCAACTCTGCCAAGCTTCAAAATACACGTATTTCTGTACGTCGCTACACAGCCTCCGTTTCACATAAAATCTGTGGTTCTGAGGCGCAGCCCCTCCCCTCCTCAGACACCACCGTGTGCCGCACCAGCAACGGCAGAACGCTGCCAATGAGGCCTCGGCCTGAAAAGCGACCGCGGCAAAGAAGGAAAAGAGAAGAATGGATCCGACCGCGAACTAAGAAAGTACAAACAAGTTACATGAGAATTGAGAGCGGTTTTTATCACAATCTGAGGGGTTTTTCCAAATCGAGAAGAAAAGCAAGAGCATTGCACGGTATTGCAGGAAAAGCTTAACAACACCCAGCGCGCAGCCAGCACCAGTACGATCACGGAGCCAAGGAGGGGTTTGGCTGGAAGGGACCGCGAAGATCATCTCGATGAGACACTTTCTATTCCAAACCTCAGCAAATACCACGCCTGCTCCTGACAGAGGATGCCGAGATGCTGAACGTCACTTACCAGTAACAACGACAGAGAAGCTGGTACGCTTTACACAGAGGGAATTGCAAAATAAATGGGGAAAAAAATCATTAGAAGGTATCACCTGAGTCACACGGGGTACTCTCCCTTTGACACGGCACCCGATGACAGGACAGACCTCGCAGGCGTGTGAAAGCACAGGCCAGGCAGAGTTAAGCCACTCCCACTTCTAGAAGCAAATACATCCAATTTTATTACAAGTGTGTTCAGGATAAACCCATACTTTCAAAATAATTCTCTTATTTTTGACAATTTGGACATTTCTAGAAGGAAGCAGGCCCAGAACGCTGCGGTTGCCCGTCAGGAACAGAAGCCGGGCAGACCACGCACGCCGCGGGGACAGAGCGAGCTGTGGGGCAACTTCTGCTCCCTTTCACACAGGTACAATTCCCACCATCTTCAGGGAAGATGAGAGTTGTACCACCGTGGCCGGGCAGCAAGCGTTCTCTAAGGTGTTTGCTGAATCAGAAAAAAGCTTAAACGAAGCCCTGACCTGTCTCTTACAAAACACCACAATCACCAGGGCGAGGCTGACTTCACATGCTTGAAGTTGTCTAACAGTTAAGAGGTTTTATCTTGACTTTAGCAAGAGTTTCCACATGACACGACTGACGTTTCAAGTAGAACTAATATAAATCTGGCATTTGATCAGCTCCTTTTGTCAGCTCCATCCTCAGTACTCTCACACTGGTTTCAACGTGGACAGTTTGAACTCTCTAGAAAAGAAAATTAAAAACCCTTTTGCAAGCCGAGCCATGGGATGTGCGCACGAACCTGAGCTACAGTGAAAGTCTGGGATAGCTACGCTATGAGAACACGCTCGCTGAACGTTTTTGTGTACAACAGAGAAGGATCCACAAGTCCCGTAACTGAAGAGCGATCCAGAATACGTACCGAGGCTCCCAGACATTTTAACCCAGTACATGCACTACAATGCATTGGATTTGAATCATTTCTTTTTAATTTTTAAAAAGTGCAGTTGACCTGAAATGGAAAAGAACTGTCTTTATGTTCACTGTAAACTTGTCAAAAGGAATCTGCTCTTTAAAAACTGTGCTAAAATAGTCGGTTTATACAACAGAGCACTAGATGAAGCTACCATTAATTCCTCTTCACCAATTATTACTCTATTGTGTCAGTTATAGTACTGCATATACGTAGAAGAAGCAGAACGGTGGTAGCTACTATTAGGGAGTACAACAAACCAAGTGAGTAATTTGAGTTCAACGTTTCCATGAAGTAGCAATAACATTTAAACCACAGGACAGTTAGAATTCAGTACTTGGAAGTGCATAAGAGTCACACTGTTGATCATCAGCAGTATGGAGAAAGGTTATTACAAAGTCAGCAGTAATGGTGGGAAAGAACATGGCAACACGACAGAGTGAAGGTCACCCCACACGGCAAGTCTGCAGCTCCTCCCGCAGCCGAGGGGTCTGTCGGGATCGCGCACACACGTAATCCAGCAGCGACCACGTCCGTCTCCGGGCTTGGCACACGCCAAACCAGGGTATTGCCGAGCAAACAGGACCTTCCTTCCGTCAGTAGTTCCAGGGTAACAGACCACGATTCAGACACCGCCGGGTGCGGGAATGCGCGGGAGCAACACGCAGCCTCTCCGCTCGGTCATTTCCACTGCTGCGAGGAGCATGAATTCACTTGCCATTGTTCCAGTCTTCACAACCTCCAGAGACAGAGTTCTGACATTATCCCACGCTGTAAACATCTAATTCTTCCTCTTCTAAGCACATCCCACGTCCAGGATTGCACAAAGTAATTCATAAGGATTCTGTGAAGCTCAGCATGTTCACGAAGCAGCCTCCCTACGTGAACTTTGTTTTCCGTTTCTCCTACAGACCATTGCTATTCCTGTGGCTGAGCGGTGGTTTTGAAAGCTCTACGACTGTTGAGCGAGATTTATTGAGAAACTTTGGAGCCCGACGCAGCAACCTCTGTGCCTCAGTAAAAGCTTCTGTCAGCTCTTTTTTCCACTGAACAAATTCTGGGTCGCTCTGAAAGAGATACAGAAGTAGTTTGGCACTTCACAGTAAACTGCCAACAGCGCCTTCGCTCTTAGACAGCACTTTAAGCAACTTAGTTTAGTTTTTCCGAAGGAACGAGTAACTTCGGGTATTGAAAAACGTGCGGCCCTTTGCTTCTCCACCACCTCGCCGACGCCAGGCAAGGCAGCAGCAACTACAGCCGGACAGAACGTTCTGAGGACTCACGCACTTCCTCCCTCGCAAACACATCAGCCACCATCAACTAACTGCGGGGAGACACGGGCCAACAAGGCCTTCGAAGCCCATGTAGGTTGAGAAGGTGTGAATTTTTTAGTTATTTATTAAACTGAACTAATTTTGGCCCAAACACTATTGAAATCCACAGCAGAAACCGGCAGAGCTGCACGTTTCCTGCTTTCGAAATTCGAGTGTGATAAAAACTTCCCGGTTTTGCTCAGGTTCAGCTTTGCTTCATGAAGTACCCTTAGTTAACGTGTAACGGGAGGGCCTGAAAAACTTTTCAATCGTTTTATCATATGCAAAACGATCGGCTTAACCGCTATTGAAAAACGAGCGTCTCACCTCACACTGCAGGACAAACTGTTTTCCTCCTTTAATCCTCAGCAAGATGCATTTCTTATCTTTAATCTGCGTTTCTTCGACAGATACTATTTGTTCCATTGTCAGTAGGTTTTGCTGTGGCATTTGCAAAAAAGCAGAGAGATGATTCAAATACACCCCTGTTGCCCAACAAATAAAGCCACTGTCTGTTTTTTCTGGCCTACTCACATAAATCAAGTTATGAACGTGAACAGTCATCACACAAACATTTCTTTATTTCTGAAGACTGGGTCATGAACTAAAGATAGATTATAAGGTAAGGGAGCGATTTAGCAAGGGGCTCGGCTGCTTCAGCAGAGACAACAAAATGTAAGCTAAGAAAGCCAGTAATGACAGCATGAAATAAGAATCTACAAATAGGTGTGTCTACCAACAAAATATTCACTATTTTCCCTCAAGAGAGTCGCCTATGATTTTATATAGTTTCCAAGTATTACTGCTGTTAAAAAAAAAAAGACAATTTTATTATTTCGAAGAGCTGAAAGTGAATATTTAAGCACTATGTACTTACAAAGAACAGCTTGCAGAAAAGCTCTCCCTACAGACTGCAAGAGGACAACAACGGTTTGAAACTCCAAAACCTTACTTAACTAAATATACAAATCATCTGCCTCGCACGTGATCACAGCCGGACTACACTAGAGTTACTATAGCATTTTCTGTGAAATAAAATGCTATAGTATTTATGACCTTACCAGTTTATGTTTTTTTGTATAAATAGTCCAGAGGTCCTAAATGAAAAACAACACCATGAACTACCAAACTCCTTTAAAAACGTAACAAAGCAAAGCAAACAGGTTTCTCGAGTCAACTTTACGTTTCCTCAGCGCAGCGTAGCTACCCATTAACTCGAGCGATGCTCAAGATAAGTTACTCAAATCCACTGGGACAGATCCCTCCTTCCGCGGGGGGCAGGCCTGCGTGCGAGCTCACAGCTCCGCCTCAACACCCACCTGCCTCTGCCCCTGGAAGCTGCCGCTCTCCCGAGTCCCCTCACTTACCCGGGACTCTCCTTCTCCTCGCCATTCAAGTCGGTTTGGGAAGAGGTAAAAGTAGCGACGCTGCCACTGGGTCAAGAAGGGGTTCCCCAACTTCAGCATGTACCCGTGCATAATACAGTCCTTCCCCAGCGCGTAATCTACAACGAGAGGAAGCGTCAGCGTGCGAACCGAGGGGCCGCCTAGAAGCACTCTGCACCCCTGCTCTGCTGAGGAAGGGGACGGGCCCGCCACACCGGGACGCCACGAGCCCTCGCCAGGCTCCCGCCGCTCTGCCTTCCTTACGGGAGCTGCTGCGGCTGCAGGGGCTGACCAAGAACCCAACTTGGTCCTTAAAGAAGTATCTTGTTAACCACCACGAGAAGCGCGTAGCGCTACCCACAGCGCAGAGGTGGTGATGCAACACCCGCGTGCAAACGAGCGCAGTTTGCTGCTGTAAAGGGCCTCCCGTTTTTCTCTCCCGGCTTCTTTGTCATGAAATCAAATCCCACACGCTCTTTTCTGAGCGTACACCATAAACAAAAACGGCGGAAGGCTGTACGTGCTAATCTTTAAAAGAGAGCACAAAAGATTCTCCAAAACATTATGTCATCATACAGCATTTCAAAATGTTAAGAAATGTCTTCAGAAATACGATACTGACTAAATGAGTTCTAACAATTACTGGTGAATGACAGTAATAGGAGAGTCTGTTGTGTGAAACTTCAAACACATGAATTACTATCTAGCAGCAAAAGATGGAGAGAAGTGTATTTGACAGATTACCTTCCTCGTGGCCAAGCTGCTTATTTTTAGCCCTTTTTCTGGCCTCAATTTTATCTGTGTCTGCATTTACTGCATCATAAACAGTTTCTGCTACTTCTTGCTGCCAACGCTCCGATATTACCAGAGGGAAGTTCTTATATAACTCCTGGTCACTATCAAGCAACTTGCAAGAGAAAAACAACATAAAAACCCAACATTTTAATAACTTCTTACTATTCTTATCCCAAATAGTTCACAGTTACCCATATAACAGTATGATTTTCAAAAAACATATTGAACTGACCTTACCAGAACAAACCAGTGCAAACAGGAGAAAACAGGGATACTAATTTAAGCAAAGATATTAATTTATATACAGATAACAGGCCACCTGTTCAAGACTTGATTGGTTTGATAGCCCTGAAAGCCTGGCTCAACATTGTCCCATGATGTTCTCTAGACTTTACAGTTAAATACCCACGTCAACGTAAGCGATGGTTTTCTTAACTTTGTTGCACAACCAGTGTTAACAAAACGTCTAACCGTGTTAAAAACTTTCTTAGCACAAAAATTCCACGGATAAATTAAAAGATACCTTTTATACATCAATGCCTTCCATGCTTCCACAGCTTAATTTTACAGTCTTAATAATTAACCTCCAACATTCAGCAGTGTGTGCTGCAGACCTCAATTTTCCTGTTATATAGATTCTTTCCCCCCCCCCAATCCTTAACCACAGTACTTAAATTGAATTGCACTGACAGAAACTAAAATTACCGGATCTTCAGGAAAGACTGTTTGTTGCTCAACAGCCATATTCTGGGTTTAGCCACAAGGCACTTTGACACAGTACAAAAAGCAATTTATGTTTTTTCCTGTAAAATTACTAAAGGTTTTCATTCGGGGACCAGTTTAAACTCTCTACAGCCACTCCTCAGTTGCTTCAGCTTCTGTCAATCAGCAGAGAAGATCGTTCTTTCGGAGAGCAGGGCAAGGAGGCATCCTTTGCAGCACCAGGAAGGCAGCAAGCCCGCTCGACTCCCTGCCTGCCAGGGCTGGTCCAGCC